TAAGCTTAAGTGCTGGCAGTTTTTCGTGTGTGAAATCTGTGGTAATTAATTCCTTTCGATGATCGCGGCGTCTCGGTGTCGCTTCTGTGCTTGTTGTTATGTTAACGAACTTAGGACGATAACTTTTAACGTTTCTTGATTTTATTGTTGATGTTTTGTTATTGTGAACTTCTGCTGTAGATGAGACCTTGACTATCATAAAAGACATCTGCAATTAAATACATAAAACAAAACATTTTTGTAAACCATTTTCATTTTACTAATCAATTTACTAATCATTTTACTAATAGAAATACAAACAATAATAAAAAGAGATAAGTTTTGTTAAAGAAAATAAAGTATACTTGAAGTATATATTGACTTATTGTAAATTTATTTGTCTTTTATATATGCTAAGGTTAGAGGCCAACTTCAAAATGCCACGATAACTTACTATATTTATTATCTTACTAGTTATATTAGTCTATAATATGTAGGTCAGTAGACAACTCTTAAGGCAGAATAAAATTATACGTTAAACAGTAATATATCCTGAATTATATATTCTATGATACAGTAGGATGTAATAACAATATTGACGGATTATAAAATTTTGATAGCAGCAGATGAATTTCTTATGAAGGCTGCACAAAATTTTTGAACTTTACTTAAATATATTCTTGGCTGTTAAACATATATGATTCCAACAAAAAACTAACAACCTAGAAGTTCCAAGTTTATGTTCATTAATTACTCAAACCACTTAAGTTATTGTCTGTTATTTTCAAACTCTCTTACAACATTCTTAGTTAAGTCCCACCATTTGTCATGGTTTGGACGTCGATTATCGGTCTCTATTGATGTTTTATGTCGTTAAAATATTGGTAATATCTAGTTGGATTAAGTTTTAGATAATGGTTTGAAGCCTCAAGGACCGAAATATTTTGGTGGCAATAAGTACACGTATTAACGGTATTCTTCATTTTCTAAAGAACATCAGCAGACTTCTTGATATAGAGACTTCTTGATATAAAGAATATAGAGAAAAATTTCAAAAATTAAATTTCAAAAAACTTTTCAAACCCGCAGAGCTAATATAGTTCCTTGGCTTACGACAAATCAAACAAATCTACCAATGATCAATATATATAGTAGATATATTGTGATCTTTGTAAACTGATATCATTGAAAAATAATTCAATAAGAAAATATCGACTTATTTCAGTAATAGTTTAAAATACAATACTCTTCACACTCACGTTACAGAGTTAATTTATGACAAAGTAAATATGTATACCTAGATAGCTATAGGCTTATATACGTATACTAAACATCACCAATTACCACTGATCAGTAAACTTAATTATTATCATCTACCTTTTTTAAGACGTAAATGTACTTTTTGTTATAAACTGAAATCAACCCATCAAGAATCACTTATAACCAGCATAGGTAGACTATATAATAGTATAATTTTAGTACATGTTTTCACAGACACAATCCGTAAGATTATTAAGAAATATTAAGTACGCCAATCTAAATGACCTTAATTATCATTTTGTGACTTTGAATAATGTATGTCACAATTCAATGATATTTGGCAATTATTCAGATTACCAAAAGAATGCTATGTATCAAGTCAAATTTATTCCACGTCTACTGTATTTGCCTGATTTCACCTTCAACGAATACTGACTTATTGTAGATCTTAAAAATTATTCCAGAAAGAAATCCAAGCAAGAAGATTTTACTTCAATAACAAAGTAACATCCGAAACAAACAATTACTTTAAGGCCATAAAGGCCTTAGCAAGAAAGCAAGAAAGGTCAACTTGAATTTTTATTTATTTATTCTAAATTAAAGTATTTTTTTTTGTACGTATATATTGTAAGACATAATTATATAAAATGTTTCCTTTTAAAATACATTAAACTTAAAAAGTTATTCCAAAGTACCAAAATTCAACCCTTGGTACTTGCAGTCTCAACTTGAAACAGCTGTATGGTCAGCCAAAAATACAATTAATTAATAAATAATAATAAAAAATTTGGTGTTGTGATTTACTACTGCTCAAAATACCTCTCTATTAAAACAATAGTTTCTATTAAGAAACATGTTTTCTTTTGTCATAATTGACTTTAAAAATCAAAATTAAAAGGTTATTCCTTGGTCCAACAAAATAAATAAATTATATAGGTATACTATATAAATGCTTATATGATGGATCCAATAATCCTTCAAAAGAACTTGATATAATAAAACACTTCATATTTTATGTTTTTAAAATTATACACAAGAAAGAAAGGTTCTTGAAAGGAATATTCAAACATTATAAACATTATAAAAAATCAACTCTAAATCTCCTACCCTCTTGTGTTAGAAGACCGGTTTTTCTGGAAGTATTAAAAAAGAATCAAATTCCCTATCAATCAATTTTTGTATTTCTGTGAATGAAGTTTTACTGTAATATTTAAGTAAAGCACGTCATCAATATATAAACATGGATGTGTACCACTATTTTATATATATTTATATATTTAGGGGCCGCAAACACCATTAAATAAAAAAAAAAGAAATTATTATCTATTTTCCATTGTTTTCGTAAAACCGAAATTTAAAACAAATTATCTACTCAATTTTTCAACAAAATACCGCATAAAATTATTCTTTATTTATGAGTAATAATAACTTTCACAAATTTATGCATTCTGGTTCAATAGATAAATTTGACCAATTAAAAAAAATAGTGCATGATAGATGTTAAAATCTGTCATGAAAAATATGTTTACAGTATAAAAAGAGGATTTAATATGTTATATGCGAAATATGAATGAAATAATTTTGACAAAAATGATATTTCTACAACAACCTAAATTTTCCCAAAGATCCAACTTTGAGAGACTGCAATTTCCGAACTCAAAATAGGTAAAACATATTAGGCATTCACTATATTTAATGGATCAAGAATTGAAATATGATAAATTATGTTTTATAGACGAAGACCAAACTGTGAAACATTTACGGAATAGTGTGCTGCAGTGATACATAAACTGTAGAAACACTTTGTTGAGTCCATAATATCCGATGATTATTTAATACTCGATACAAACTCTACATATTATTGAGCAAATAAAACTGACAAAGACGCTTTAAGTCTAGAACTTTTCTTTTTAAATTCTTGATTCAATGTCCAACAAAAGAGGACTGAGGCAGTCTTAATTAGGAAATAGCCCACAATGGTTATTAAGGACTAAACAGTTTTTGTGATTGATTTTTTCGACACAGCATTTTGGTAAATTTTTTCGTTTCTTAGTTCAAGAAATAGAAGTATTTTTTTATATTTGATATCTTTTTAAATATAGCTGTGTGAGTTTTTCATTCCAGAAAGATTTTTTTTGTATGTAAAACCGAGTAATCATCACCAGACGTTACAAGAAAATATAATGTATGGAAAATTCGTTCAATAGAAGTACTTTTTTTATATTTGATATCTTTTTATATATAGCTGTGTGGGTTTTTCATTCCAGAAAGATTTTTTTCGTATCTAAAACCGAGTAATCATCACCAGACGTTACAAGAAAATATAATGTATGGAAAATTCGTTCAATAGAAATACTTTTTTTATATTTGATATCTTTTTATATATAGCTGTGTGGGTTTTTAATTCCAGAAAAATTTTTTTCGTTTCCAAAACCGAGTAATCATCACCAGACGTTACAAGAAAATATAATGTATAGAAAATTCTTTCAATATTTTTCAAATGTACCAAGAAAACACGCTGTATAAAAAATGTCTTTAGCCATTTTGTATATATTGTTTATATATGTATTAGAGATGTAAAAATATACACCATAAAACCCTTTTTTACTTAAATTATAAGTATATCAAAAGATCGGTATGAACTTACAACAATTATAAACGTGAAAAATAATCCGATAATTCTAAGACAAAAGCCATAATTAAACAATTTTCGCTGCTTTAAAAAATCGTATTTATAATTATTCAGTTTTTTATATTTATTAAAATCCTTCAAAAACATTTTTTTCGCTAATTGAACTATTTAGTATCTTTAAGTAAATTTGTATTTGTATTTTAAAAATACTTATAAATTCTTTTATTGTTTTATAAGTTAACCGTTTTGTAAGGACGAGAAAACTCCGCACGACTTCTGCTTCATTGCGAATTCAAAAATCGACTGAGATGAAAATTGGCTCGAATAATTAAACCGTTTTCTTCTTGAAAATAAATTTTCATAATTTTTCGCCTATTTAAATGATCAAAAAGAAAGTTGGCTAAACTGAATTCATACCAAAAAAATGTAATTTAATCAGCTACATAACAAAATCTAAAGCAGCAAACCATAATAGAAATTAAATGCTCATACGAGTACAAATTCATAATTAATCTCAATCAGGTAATTTAGTGTTTAAGTCTGTTTCATTGCCTTTTCTTGGCTTTTCTTGGCTTTTCTTGCCTGAAATTTGTTGATAAAATACGCCAAGCAGTCAAGTACTCGTGTAAACAAACTTGGGTGCACCTACCGTGAAAGACTGTTTAACACGCCTCGGCTTGGTACGCACTGAGGTGTAATTGCCAAGCGCCTCAGATCTGCCATCATCGGAGAATTGTGAAATCTGAAAACTCAGATTTGAATTTGCAGTTTATGAACTTCAAATGAACTCACATGGGCTTAATTACTTTCATGCATCTTCGGCAATTTTGTTGAGATACGAAAAATGAACCTTAATCAGTATTTAGTTAGGCAATGGTTGAAGTAAAAAAAAATTATTAAAAACAAAATCAATTAAAAGAAACACTCATTTAAAATTAATTTTTCTTTTATTCACAAAAACTAAAGTACAAAGTTTCGTTGGCAAGGATACAAAGGCACATTTTGTAAGAATTAATATTTTTAGTAACAAATCTAGAGCACAACAAAAGCGTTCAGTTTTCCTTAAAATATTGTAAATAAAACATTTAATTTCGTCTTATAAAAAAACAAAGATATACAGTAGAAAAGATACAAACGTGCTGTACAAAAATTCACGCGTTTGCTATCGACTTGCAGAGTAAAACTATGAGTAATTATAAGAATATTATTAATTAAAAAATATATAAACAAAACATGAATTCTTGCAATTGCAAAAAACAAAAATTTTTACAGTGTATTGACTAGATGTATCTAGCCCTAGACAAATAGATGGTACCATTTTGCTAGACTTAAAGGCAGTGATCATTATCACTAAACGCTGCTTCACAGTTGAAATATATGTGCAGCGTTACAGCAGTTTGACAAACAGAGCTTAGTACTCGAAGGGAATGCTAGGTACGGGGTAATTGTAACCAGGATGTTTGGTCGTTGGAGGAGGTGTTGGTGGTCTGGTTGGTGGACGAGTTGGTGGTGGAGTTGCTCTTGTTGGTGGTGGAGTCGCTCTGGTTGGTGGTCGGGTTGGTGGACGTGTAGTTGTTACTGGAGGTTGTGGTTTATTTGTTGGTGGCAAGTAAGTTGGTGGAGGACGTGTTGGTGGACGAGTTGGTGGACGGGTTGGTGGTTGAGTTGCTCTTGTAGTTGGTGGCAAATAAGTTGTTGGTGGACGGGTTGGTGGACGAGTTGGTGGACGAGTTGGTGGTTGAGTTGCTCTTGTAGTGGGAGGCAAATAAGTTGTTGGTGGACGTGTTGGTGGACGAGTTGGTGGTGGAGTTGCTCTTGTTGGTGGCCGGGTTGGTGGACGAGTTGTTGTTACTGGAGGTTGTGGTTTATTTGTTGGTGGCAAATAAGTTGGAGCTGGGGTACTTGTAGCACGTGTTGGTGGTGGAGTTGGTGGACGGGTTGGTGGACGAGTTGGTGGTGGAGTTGGTGGACGTGTTGGTGGACGAGTTGGTGGTGGAGTAGCTCTAGTTGGTGGTGGAGTAGCTCTTGTTGGTGGACGGGTTGGTGGACGAGTTGTTGTTATTGGAGGTTGTGGTTTATTTGTTGGTGGCAAGTATGTTGGTGCTGGAGTTGTAGCACGTGTTGGTGGACGAGTTGGTGGACGGGTTGGTGGACGGGTTGGTGGCCGTGTTGGGGGTTGAGTCGCACGTGTAGTTGGGGGCAAATAAGTTGTTGGTGGACGGGTTGGTGGACGAGTTGGTGGTGGAGTTGCTCTTGTTGGTGGTGGAGTAGCCCTTGTTGGTGGACGAGTTGGTGGACGGGTTGTAGTTACTGGTGGTTGTGGTTTATTTGTTGGTGGCAAATAAGTTGGAGCTGGAGTACTTGATGGACGAGTTGGTGGTGGAGTTGGTGGACGGGTTGGTGGACGAGTTGGTGGTGGAGTTGCTCTTGTTGGTGGTGGAGTTGCTCTTGTTGGTGGACGGGTTGGTGGACGAGTTGTTGTTATTGGAGGTTGTGGTTTATTGGTTGGTGGTAAGTATGTTGGTGCTGGAGTTGTCGCACGTGTTGGTGGACGAGTTGGAGGACGGGTTGGTGGTCGTGTTGGTGGTTGAGTTGCACGTGTAGTTGGGGGCAAATAAGTTGTTGGTGGACGGGTTGGTGGACGAGTTGGTGGTCGTGTTGGTGGTTGAGTTGCACGTGTAGTTGGGGGCAAATATGTTGTTGGTGGACGGGTTGGTGGACGAGTTGGTGGACGAGTTGGTGGTGGAGTAGCTCTTGTTGGTGGACGGGTTGGTGGACGAGTTGTAGTTACTGGTGGTTGTGGTTTATTTGTTGGTGGCAAGTAAGTTGGTGCTGGAGTACTGGAAGGACGAGTTGGTGGTGGAGTTGCTCTTGTTGGTGGACGAGTTGGTGGACGTGTAGTTGTTACTGGTGGTTGTGGTTTATTTGTTGGTGGCAAGTAAGTTGGTGGAGGACGTGTTGGAGGACGAGTTGGTGGACGGGTTGGTGGTTGAGTTGCTCTTGTGGTTGGTGGCAAATAAGTTGTTGGTGGACGGGTTGGTGGACGAGTTGGTGGTTGAGTTGCTCTTGTAGTGGGAGGCAAATAAGTTGTTGGTGGACGTGTTGGTGGACGAGTTGGTGGTGGAGTTGCTCTTGTTGGTGGACGGGTTGGTGGACGAGTTGTTGTTACTGGAGGTTGTGGTTTATTTGTTGGTGGCAAATAAGTTGGAGCTGGGGTACTTGTAGCACGTGTTGGTGGTGGAGTTGGTGGACGGGTTGGTGGACGAGTTGGTGGTGGAGTTGGTGGACGTGTTGGTGGACGAGTTGGGGGTGGTGTTGCTCTTGTTGGTGGTGGAGTTGCTCTTGTTGGTGGACGGGTTGGTGGACGAGTAGTTGTCACTGGAGGTTGTGGTTTATTTGTTGGTGGTAAGTATGTTGGTGCTGGAGTAGTAGCACGTGTTGGTGGACGAGTTGGAGGGCGAGTTGGTGGACGGGTTGGTGGTCGTGTTGGTGGTTGAGTTGCACGTGTAGTTGGGGGCAAATAAGTTGTTGGTGGACGGGTTGGTGGACGAGTTGGTGGTGGTGTTGCTCTTGTTGGTGGTGGGGTAGCTCTTGTTGGTGGACGGGTTGGTGGACGTGTTGTTGTCACTGGTGGTTGTGGTTTATTTGTTGGTGGTAAATATGTTGGTGCTGGAGTTGTAGCACGTGTAGTTGGTGGACGTGTTGGTGGACGAGTCGTAATTGGTGGTTGAGGCTTATTTGTTACTCTGATTGTTGGCCTAGTAGTAGTTGGTAATTCGAATGGTGTTTTTGGTGTTGGATATTCATATCCTGTTGGTTTTGGTTTAGCTGTAGTTGTTACTACTCGGGTTGTTGGCCTTGCAGTTGTTGGGTATGTGATTGGAACTCGTGGAGTAGTGTATACGTAAGTCGTACGTTGTACAGGTGTAGTTGGTGGACGAGTTGGTGGACGAGTTGGAGGTGGAGTAGCTCTTGTTGGTGGACGAGTTGGTGGACGTGTAGTTGTTACTGGAGGTTGTGGTCTATTTGTTGGTGGCAAATAAGTTGATGGTGGACGAGTTGGTGGACGGGTTGGTGGTGGTGTAGCTCTTGTTGGTGGCCGAGTTGGTGGCCGTGTAGTTGTTACTGGAGGCTGGGGCTTATTCGTTGGTGGCAAATAAGTTGTGGGTGGACGAGTTGGTGGACGGGTTGGTGGGCGTGTTGGTGGCTGAGTTGTACGCACTGGTTCGGGGAATGGCACAATTGGCTTTGGATAATCATAACCATCAGCACGTTTTTGTCTCTGTAATAGTTTTTTTGTGTTTTAATAAAATGTTTTGATGTTAAGAATTCACAATCTTCTTACCACTAGATTATTTTCGCTTGCGTTGGAATAAATCCCCGCGACGCATAGCGCCAAAATCAAAAATGCGCTCCTCTGTAAAATATTAACAAGACAATATATGTTTGATTACATTATAATATAAGTGAATTAAATACATTTTTTTGCATATAAATATAAATTTTCATGTTATATGTTTTTTGATAAATTTGTTTTTTCAGTTTTACACTCATAAAATGAATTGCATTCTTTCATTATTAAATGTGCAATATATTTTAAAGGTTTTATTTTTCATTAAACTACTCAGTTTTTAATAAGTGTTGTTTGCAAATTAATACGTTCCAGTTTTTCATACTTAATTCTCGAAAATGTTTCCTTTTAAGTATTCAAGGTCTGCAATGCATCATATTTTGTTATTGATTTTAATATTCAAAGTATCATTATTCATTTATTTTATCCTTGACAGCTCGCCTACTGGTTTTATTTTGCAAGATCAGTAATGAATTTTTTTTCCAAAAAAAAAAACCACTGCAAGTTTAATATATATATTATTTACCGCCATTGAAAAAATAAGACAAAATATTCATAAAAAATGAATTTCAATTAAAATCACATTTACGTATAAATTGTGGGTCGATTAGCTTAAGTCTTGTGTTCATATGAACTCTTATTGCATTATCGCAGAAATTTTTTTAACAATAAATTTGCAACTAAAAGATGCGCAATGAGTTTTATTATAGATTGTATATTAGTAGCTACAGTGAAATTCGGTATTATGGATTTAGTAAAGTTTATTGTGAAGTCGATATTTAAATTAGACTAGAAAGAGTAGATTGCCACTCTACAATCTGCTGTTAGATTTAAAACTGCAATAAAATTTAGCATCCCATGAACTAAAACTATAAATGAATTCCGATGACACATAATACTAATAATTATTCATTATTTTTAATTTAATTCAAATATTTAATTAATGTCGTTAAAATAAATTTAACTTAAATTACTTTCTTCATCTTTATTTTTTGTACCTTATTTCTCATAACATAACAATAACATGAGCATTGAAGTTCCTTACGATTTTGAATATTATTTTTAAATCATTTAAAATAAAATAGAATTTACTAGGTAATAGTTTCATTAATACTAGAATGATTATTAGTATTGCCAACTCATAGTATTCTTTAGCTCGGCAGAAATGTATGCTTCGTAGATATGTAACCACACTAGTTTTCAGTTCGCAAGCAAAATGTTCCTGCTATGGATACTTGGCTTTACGTCAAATGCAGGTGACAACAGCCAAAAAGGAACCGTAATAGCAGTATTACGGGCATCCAGTATTACATCCAGTAATACATTTTCTCTATGAATGCCCGGCTATGGTGTCCAGAAGATATAGATTCTTAGAAAGATTCTTTTTTGATAGTATATATTACTCATTATTTATTATAAAAGTAATTAAAATAGTTTCGATTGAAATTATCTTGCTTCTGCTTTAGTCTAATTTGATGCATTTTTATTAATTTTAATAATTAATTTTAATAATTTTTTAATAATTTCTAATGCCAAAATTTTGCTCGTCATATCTCACTACCGATCATTGAATCTAAAGATCAATAATAAAATATTTTAGCTGTAGTGGTTGGCGCGCTTTACCTCTTCTCCTTTGTTAGACTTTATATAAATTTGTTTTTAATTGAAAATTGGAAGCAATTTTTAAAATATTGGTAATCAAGCATTGTTGAATTATGGCTTAAATATCTTATTAACAAAATTGTACATGAGAGCACATCTGCATGCGCACATTGGTACACTTGGTACGTGTATATCGGCGTTTAGCCCATTAAAGTTTGTAGATAAAATTATACAAAATGTATAAAGCATTCAACTTTGACAGCAGCTCTAGGTCATGGTGATCGTTAAATCTGTACACATTGTTAATAAAACTGAATGAAAATATATCTAGTTATATATATATATGTATATATAAACTATATAACACACAGATATATTTAAATTCGGTTTAACGTTTCTTTATGGCATTATTATTATTGTTTTTAAAGCTTCGCTCGGCTGTTGGTGCAATAAATTTTGGAATTTATATATGAAACCAAACAAATAATTAGCATTTTTAATTTTATTAATAATTTCATATTTAATTTTGTATTTGTTATCAGAAATATATAGCTATTATACATATTTCGTATTATTTTACATTTAATTTTTTTTTTATTTTAAAATTTTTTAATTGTTTGTAATAATTTGTTATTATTTTTTTTTTTTTATTTACTCTGAACAACTTGAAGGAGAGTGGGTCAAATGCTCTTAATTAATGTATTATCATTAATCAAAATTTATTAGCTTCCACATTAACTTCCTTAAAATAAAAAAATTAATTTAATTAAATAGGCTCAAGTACACATAGGAGTAAACTGAGTTCAAGTTTAAGTGAGAAATATATATAAAGATATAAATGTTTATAAAGTATTATCAAGAATTACATTTTTTGTTTGGTTAAAAGTAATATAAACGAAAAAAAACATTTTTAACGTATTGTTTGTAAGAGAGCTATTAGTAAATTTACTAACTACTAAAAAGAGTTATATAATATTTTTGATTTTTTTAGTTTTAAATATTATTTTAAAAAAAATAAAAATAGTTGAAAATAAAATAATCATTATTAAAAAAATACTAGTTTTTTAAATTTATATAAATAATATTTTTTGATTTATATTTCTAATTTATTCTAAACAGATAATAACTTTTTATATAAAATTGTTTAAAAATAAAGAATTGCAAATTAAAAAGCTGTCTAAAACTTCAAAAATAGTTCTTGTATCACAAATTCATTATAAATAAAAAAAAGGTTTATTTTAATTGCAGTTATAATAAAATCTAATCATTATAAAATAACGAGTAATTTCTTAAATATTAAATTTAAACACAAAAAAAACATATTTTAAATGCATTAAATGAAATATATGTTAAGAAAGATGTTAAGCATTTTATTATTAAAATATTTTATAAAAAAATTTAAACATTTTATTATTAATTTGTTATTTTATAATTAATTTTTTAGGAGCGTTATTAAAGTAGAATAATAAACTTTAATTATTAATTTTTTTTTTTCATTATGAAAAGTTTAAAAACGTTCAGAAAGTAACTTTGATTTTTAATGCACTTAAAAAATATTTTATATGCTTATAATTTTTAAAAATCCCATTTCAAATAAAATAAATTGTTAACTAAGATAGTTAAGTTAATTTAAAAAAAAACTTTTATTTATTAACAGGTTATACTATTTTTCTGATTTAAAATTATTTCAAATAATACTAGTTAAATATATCAACTTATTCATGTTGGATTAGTTTTTATATTCGAATATAACATAATATAAATTTTAAGAAAAATAAAAATAAGAATATGGAAATTTATGAATAATATTAATTAAATACTCAATAAAAAAAATATTTTATATGTTATTTTTAATTAAAATATATGTTCATTCTAACAAGCATAAAAAGCTATCAACTTAAAATTTCATTAATATTTAGTAAATGAAAATAATATTTAACATAAGAATCCATTTTTGATTATCGTTTTAACATTTTAAACTAAATTACTAAAACTAAAAAATTGAAACCTATTAACTAATAAGATTTTATAATTGATGAAATTTTAATTATCAGTTTTCTTAAAATTTAAAAAATTATTAATAATTTTAAATTTTAATAAGACTGTCTAAAAATATATTTTATAAATATTATACTTGCAAAAAATTATTTGTGTCATATATACATATATTTATATATAAATATATGTATAATATGCAATATATGCTCATTTGAAGAAAAATTAATTTTGAACTTGAAATGGATACCTATTAATTATATTGTTTATGTTTCTTGGATCAGGTCAAATTAAAAACAGCACATTGTACCAATAAATTTTTCCTTCATTTAAATATTAAAATTTCTTAATATCATTAAAAAACGAAGTACTTGAAATTTATTTACTTAAAAGGATAAATATTTATGTAATAAAACGAAATTGTGGTTTTAATTAATTAAATTTTTTCGTGCTTCACCACAGTTTCGGGTATTACCATCATTTGGTCTCCGAAAATGTGTTTTGGATTTAATTGTTCATATATAATAAATAGATTACAACTGGTAATAGTTTGAATTTGAACTCTGGCAAATAGATACTTCATTTTAAATTATATTTACTGTTAAGTATCCATTAAACTATGCAAATTTTCTTTACTTAATTTCGTACAAAATTTGATACTAGAAACTTCCAAAAAAAATTTTGTCTTCATCTCGAGTATCTAAATTATGCAAGAATCCGGATGTTTCTGAATTTATTATATATTATATACTTTTTGTATTTATGTTAATTTCTTTCGTTTTATACTGTCATATATGCCATTGAAAGATTTGCATAATTAAAAACCATATCAAAAATAGTTGTCTTCACCAAAATAGACCTGTTCCATTCTATTCAGATATAAAAAATAACCACTCGAAACTTTACATTAACTAAAGATTAATTAAAGTCATTAGCATTAATTTTACGTTTCAAACATAGAATAATAAAACTAAGAAAATATATTTTTATTAATTTTGTTAATTTTTTAATGTAGTCAGTCTTCAACGAGTTTTGGTCGGCATGTCTACAAGTTCATTAAATTTATGCTAATTAGTTTTTAATTTTTGATGTTCTTCTTTTTCATTATCATCTTGTGGTTTCGAAAGTGAAAGGATAACAGCAGTAACATTTTTTTATAAATTAATTTAAATTAATTGTTTTTTTTTTTTGAATCTAGTAAAAAAACTTTAATCGCTTATATAACTTTTATATAACTCTTAGTTAATACAATTTTTTAATTTATGCAGAATTTGAAAATAAACAGCGAAGAAAGTAAAATTTATTAGCTTAAAGGTCAAGTTTATTGGCTTTGATTTAAATAGAGGTGCTTAACCTTTACGGTTTACAATTTTTTGTGGTCAACGGGATGTGATGTAAGCAGATACTATCTTTGTAGACTAAGAAGAAAATGAAATCGAAATTTATAAATTTATTGAACTTGAATTTATATTCTAAAGTTGTTTTTATATCTGATAATTTTGAAATGATAAAGATTTGCTTTATTAATTTTATTACTTTAATTTTTATTACTTATAACATATGTAGGTTTGGAATAAATTATTTAAACTGTAATAAATATTGTGATTCTAATCTAGAGTAGGCGTGATATTCTAATCGTGATTTTTAAATTGAAATGGTACCATCTTGAATTAATATAGTAGTTCTCTGCAATAGTGAGTATTAACTGTACTGCCTTAGAATAATTGAGAAAAATTGAGATTGTATGATATCATGAAAGTCGTGACAAGATTTGATAATATAGCTATTGAAATGAACACTAGAAATTGAAGATAGTCACTTCAATTGAAGATTTAGTTACTTTCTAGTTTCTAGTTGAAAATATATGTAAGCGGCTTTACCAGTGATTACTACTCTCTATTCGTCATCAAGAATAGTTTAATAGTGTTTCAAGTTTAAAACCTCAAAACCGACTCATGACTTATGGTTTTCTGTTACTGTTTTGTCCAATTTAGATATCTTGAATAAATGAAATTAAGTAAACTTTTAGAGTACTACTCCGATATAAAATATATTAGTTCATATTTAATATTTGATAAATTTGAATTTGAAACTTGTTTTCTAGCTGTTTGAAACATAGGTTTTATCAAAAAATAATTTTTAATTAAATATATTAATTTATAAAATTTTGACCTCTATTTTACTGAATAAACCTTTTTTTCTTTTTGTAAAATAAATAAATATAATACATAAAAAGAGAATAATAAAACGAAATACAATTAATATATACCACTTATAAATGAATTTGATTATGAGATCTTATATTTTAAAACAGAAAAACTAAAAATCAGTTTAATTTGAAAGAAAAACAATTATTATACGAATGATTTTTTAATTAATTTATAAACAATCAAATTCAAATTAAACTTAATCATTATTTTATATTACTATTTTTTTATTTATTTTTTATTATTTTCTATTAAATTTTAATTTCTTTTTAAATCATTTCATTTTATTTTACTCCAGTTTATCTCATTTTGTTGTATTGTATTTTATTTTAATTTTATTTTATATTATTTTATTTTATTTTATTTTATTTTATTTTTTTTTATTGTATTTTATTTTATTTACTTTTATTTTATGTCTTTTGTACTTATTTTATTTTACTAATTGTGGTTTATTTTCTTAATTAATAATTAAACGACACAGTTATAAAAAAAATGATATTCTACTCTCAAAAATTTTATAATTTAAAAATTTGATTGTTAAGCGGAAATTATAAAAGGTGTTAAAAACAATATTACATAATTTTATTTATCCAATAAATAAAATTTATTAGAATTTTAAATGATTTTAAAATTCTTCTTTAAAATCTTTAAAATTTCAAACTTTTAAAGATCATGTTTACTATTTTCAAATTATTTAACTCTTTATAGTTAATCTTTTAAGCACTTTTACCGAAGTAACTTTACAATGCCAAATGAACAAAAATCAATTAAAATAATTTTAAAATCAATTATAAATGTTTTACTAAAAAACCTAACACAAATATTGCTTAATGAAATCTTAGTTTTTTATTTATATATTTTTTTATTTATTTATGTTTTTATAGGCGCATCTTTGGCAACCAATCAATTAATCTAATTAAGCTGCCATTCAAACCAGCATTTTCAGCCTCAATTCAACTGACCATTGAAATTTAAATCTCTTAATTGATTTTGTATTTTGTAAGTAGAAACACAAACATTTTAAAAATTTGTTATACCAAAATAAACACGAAAATATACATGTTGACACTATTAGCATTAATTAATATAATTCATAATTTAGTACTCCTAAAAATAGTAATAATTTTGATTAATGATAATATGGCTACTGCTTAATTAAGTTACATTGCTCATTAAAGGGCAAAGTGGCTACTTAAAAGTGTAACATACGACGAGTTTCTATGTTTAAATAGTTCAAGGACACGCTCAGTATTAACATTAGAATAAAATTGTTAATAACATTTAAAGGTCTGTAACATACAAAAGGTTAAATAATATTTTTTTTCAAATACTCATTTGTTCGAACATACAAAGAAAAGGTTTAAGGAGAAAATAATAATAACAAAATAGTTTGATGCTTCTGTTAAAAATTGATATGAAATATTATTAATTATATAGGTAATTAATTTACCTGAATTTTTATTTAAGGTTTTTGATTAACTAATCACTTAGCTCTACTTGAAAAGTTTAATATTCAGAACGTTCGCAGTCAGTGGACCTAGTACTATATGTGAAGTTTAGCCTCACTTCAAACAACCAAATTTTTTATCTATCCTTTATCTATCTTGAGAAAAATTATCCATGATAAAGTATCTATATCAAATGGAATATGAAAAATTTTAGTTTTCAGACATGAATAAATGAATTTAAAATAAAGAGACTGCAATATTAATGTGTAATATAAAAATATTATTATAATACATCAACTTAACACATACATCTGTCGACACATGTTTGTATAACAGAATCCATAGTATTTTAACGTTATGCCGAAATCATTCGCATAAATTTCAAAATTTACATTAGAAGAAATAGTTATTTTAAAAAATAAGTTGATTTTATTTCAAGATATATACAGCCTTCTTCAACAAGTCTCTGTATATGCTTTGAAGTAAACAAATAAATAAATTTTAATTGCATTCTAAATTGATATATTTTATATTTTAATAACTGGAATTTTATAATACGCTCCTAAAGCCAAGAACGACCATAAATTTCTTCGATGACGCCTAACAAGTTTGTTGCTTGAGTCTTTCGTTCAGCAATGACACCAGCCGCGTTAACATTTCTTTTCAACAATAATCGAACATTTTTAAAATATATGATATATATAATCAATTAAATAAACAAATAAATTATTATAATTATTAATTGCCTGTATGAACGCTATTAAATATAGTATTTTTTATATTCACAATTAATGCGTTAGCAGTATGCACATGCGTATGCATTAGAAGTTAAGGTACAAAAAATAATGAGCTGCAGACTTTAGCTATTGTAATTGCCTAAAAATGTCAATTAAATGTCAGACTTAATTTTATTTAAATAAATATATCTGCAGCTAAAGCAAAAAGAAAATTAAAATTTGCATTTGCAGCGAACAAGAATGAGTTTATGTATTTTTAATTGCAAGACATCATCGTCTGATGGCTGAGCTAGAATACATGGAATATGAACAATTTTTAATAACCCTCGGTCATTAATAAATTCAATTGCAGATGAATTATATTATAAATAAATGTATTTTATGCAAATATATTTGCTTTAGCAAGAGAAGTTAACAAATTGTTTTTTTATGCTAGATGCAAATTAGTTGCAATCGCTTCAGAAACTGAAACTGAACTCTTAATAATTTATATTAACACCATGGCATGAATATGTGTCAAGTAAATAATTGCATTAATTGAAACTATGTTAATGAAAGGTTAAGAAAGTGAAGCGCTGATATTATAAATCAAACTGCAGGCAACTGAGTCAAGGTCAGAAATTTAAGATCAAATATTTCATTAAGGATGTGATACGTTAGAACACTAGAAATGATTTTTTAACTAAAATATAGTTTTGAAAGTATCTTTAGTGATTTTTAATTTTATTAACATGCAATTAATTGTATGCAATTAATCCCTTTCGACATTGTCTTTGCTACTACTTAAGTAGATAATAGTTTCCTTCTTTTTATTTTGCTTTTAATTTGCACAACTTCATTGGCCATTTTTTTTACACAATCTGCAAAATTAGCATAAATCATGTTGATTGTCACTAGCAAATGTGCAAATATTACTAAATGTCAGCTAAGGTGACATTCTCTGCACAACGCAGCAACATCAACATCAACAGCGGCAGCAATAATTAACAAATATTAAAACAATTCTTAATTCACAGCATGGCACACTTAACACATATATCAAAAAATAAAAATTTTGTTAATATTTAAAAAAAAAATCATCATTAACTGCAATATTTTAATATCTTTTTTGTTGCAAATTAAATATTTTCGCAATTTGTCTTTAGATTTCATAAAATTTTTGTTATATTTGTTCTTTAGTTCCTTTTGCACTAATTCTTGCACAATTTCATTCACTCAAATTATATTTAATTTATATAAAAATTTTTATACATTTAAATTTTAATTAAGTTTTTATTACCATTTTGAGCACAATTAAACCACTAAATTGGGATTGTTGTACGCGTTTTTATATATATAAAAAATCCTTGCGTTTTGCGTGTATCCAATTATTTGGCAAATATTGTTAATCCTTTATTGCTAAACCGATTTTATGGGATCGTATCAGAATTCAATCTGCAATTGAATTTGATCGATTTGATTTGACCAAAAAAATTGTCAATAGAGCTGACAAGCTGAGGTATTAAACTCTGTTGGCTTCACTTCTAGGTCGAGTGTGGGATACCAACTAAACCATCAAAACCTATAGATTTTCTATATATACTCAGAGCAGATGTTCAAGCACGTTTTTGCTTGGGCGACAACTGGTAACACTCTGACCGATTGAAGATCGGTACGATCGAGAGCGCAATTCAGATGCTGCTGGCCAAGCAAGTTGTTTTAGTTAAAAAAAAAATTTTTTTTTTACTAAAAAAGCAACAAAATTTAGTTGTTTTTTTTTAGATATAAAATTTTCTTAAATATTTTTTTTTAATATATTTTTTGTTTTTTGGTTAATTTAGCATAGCCGCTTATTGTATATTTGTACTGTTGTAAGTTTATGTTAGCAACAAACAACCTCACAGAAGATGTTTTAGTTTGTTTGGAAAAAATTTATACAAAAACAAAAATGTTGTACGCAAGCATACGTTTAACCTGTTGGTGCTCTTCGCAGCTTTATTGTTTTTTTGGCAAACCTAAACAAAAAAAAAACTATCTCAATGATGACGTCTTCGTGTTAATAGCAATCAATTTTTTCTTTTCAATATATTTTTATTCTCAATTATCTCTTTTATTTTTTAATCTTTACTCGTTAAACTCGCTTTCGATATTACAAAGTCAGCAACGTCTTTGACCAGACGAGACTGGCCCTATCAGTACAGATATATTTACATACGTAGTTTCTTATTTGTTCACATATATACATATATCTACAACTGACTAAATAGTAATTTTATTTTTTTTTTTATATCAAATCGTTTGAAGTGTTGGCCTAGGTAGTGCTAAACATTTTGTCATGTGCCTCAGCACCAAATTGGCTACAATGAAGCCACACACTGCAATTAATAACGTAAAAACCTCTGCAACCTTTACATTATTTGACATGTGCGGCTGCCACTGCTAATATTTTTGTTTACTTAAGGCATTTCTGTGTTAATTGTGCTTAGATGGTTAACTTGTAAGTTTATTTAATGTTTTGTTTACAAGCCTGGAGCTGATCTACATTAATTTTCAACAGTAGAGCAATAGTCTTGGGAGAAAAAAAAAATTTACTTTTATATGTAGGTATAATCACATTTGAAATGATTGCATTAAATCCTAAATATTAGTTAATGTTGAAAAAAATTATTTGAATATAAATTGCTTGAAGCCTTCTATGTAGATTTAATAACATAAATTTAGTAAACACGCAATCGTTAACTACGCAAGACCTATAACTACATGCATTAAAATAATATTATTAATGTATTTTGAAAAATAAAAAGAAATCCTCAGCAACATATACTAAAACAATTAAATCTAACGAGTAAAATACCCTACTGAATTGAATTTATATCATTTATGAAGAAAATCCTTTCACTTTACTCACGCATGTACACAATGCTCAACTTAACTTATATACAGTTAAAGCTCACGAATAAGTTCCATGGCTCTTTTTCTTGGATCGTGTTATTTTTTAAAATCTTATAATTTCGAAGCATATTTTGTCTCACATAAATGAAAAAAAAAATTATAAAATTAATTCTAATATATTTTTTACTCCAATTGTTTTATAGAATTGCGTTTGATCATTTTTTAAAAGGCAGCAGCTTACTTCTTTTGCACTATTGTATTAAGCATTAATTTCATTATTTAATGATCTTCTATGTTGAGACTAGTTGAGTTGAGTCAGTGCACCTGAGCACTTTTACTCTCTATTAACTGCGAGGTTTCTACAAAACCCCTCTTTGCGTCTTGACTGGATTATTGTTCATCACTTCATTAGACTAAGCAATAATTGACCTCAGATCTGCATATCTCCCCGAGGAGCCTGTAACCATTCTGAGATTTGATAACGCGGTGTTAGTAAGTCTGTCAGATTTCGCAAATAATTTCAGGGCTCTATCCTTTATGTATTTTTTTATGGGATCAATCTTGAGGTCCCTGAGGATGTCATTCGTCCTAATATACCAAGGAACTTTGAAAAGTCTTCTTAGGGCCTGACTTTGTGCAATTTCTAATTGGTGAATAGTAGAGTTTGAAGCTTTGCTAAACGCTACACAACCATATAGAAGTGACGGACAAATTATTTGGTTATATATCAGTTTCCTGTTCTTAGCATTGAGGTTTTCATTTCTAAATAGCGATTGGAGGTAATGAAGAATTTTGGCGCAGCTAATTCTTTTCAGTTGAACATGTTTAACCCATGTGAATCGTTTGTCCAACGTGATGCCGAGACATTTAACGCTATCCTCCCAGTTTATCACCATATCACCCACTCTCACTCTTGACGGATTCTGTCTCCACATTTGTCTAAGTATAACATACACATACACCTATCGTCAGCATATAACACCAAAGTCGAGGGACCTAACAATGGAATATCAGATGTATAAATGTTGTAGAGAGTGGGGGAAAGTGGCGATCTTGATCTTGTTATACTTAAATCAATATAGAAATTGAAATTTGAGTACTTCAAAGATGTAGAAATAAATTATTTTTTATTATTTCGTACTCAAGCCAAAATGTATCTTACACTATCATCGAAGAACTCAAAGTAGAAGAAATTTCTGTCAAAAGATTATGTGACGAAAGGTCTCAGAATAGAATACTATATAAACATTATATTGGTATTATGGGAATTTATTGATCTATTAATATGTCTTATTTGTTCAACTAAGTATAGGACTTTTCCAACAAGAATTAATATAACTATTATGCGACTCAATTGTTCCATTAGACATTTGACTTGAAAGATCTTTAAAATTATAATAAACTTCTCTAAGGGAAGTGTTATAAATAACAAAAGTTGGAGTAAACCTTTTTTTATTAGTAACAAATAAGTATTTCATCATTTTGCAATTTGGTGTCTAGAGTTGTAGTAGTAGGCAATTGATGCTTCATTGAAGTTTTTGTGAATATGTACGATCTTTTATTTTAAAATTCAAATCATTAGATTGATTCTAGTACATTTGTAGATATGAAGATTTAATAAACTTTGCTCATTTCCTGTTTTTGCAGAAACAGTCTTTCTGTTTTTCAAGGTTTTTACTCCTTAGATTAGCTGCAAATTGATGTTTACTAGAACCAAATAATTTTAACATATATGGTATGTATTTTTTTCTCAAGACCATAAATTCATGCTATATAATATATAGTTATTTTATTTTTCATAATTAGTTTTTAATTAATTATATTTAATATTTTAAAATATTTATCTCATTTTCATTTTATATTTACACAACTTCATGGTAATTTTTAAAATATTTTTTAGATAAATAATAAATTAAAGCCCTTCTACCTTTGCCTTTAAGTAGTTCTATTACAATCTCAGCCTTCAGCTACATTTGCAAAATAAATCATTAGCATATCATATGTCGTGCAGAATTAAACGGTCTTCTATTTATATTAGTAATAATTAATTTTTATTTATCTACATAAGTAAGTACATATTAAAGATTTGCTTAAAAGAGGAAAAATTCTAAATGTGTCAAGTTTATTGATTGAATAATGAAGGTCCACTGAGCTATCCATACATAATATGTTATTATTACCGTATCGGTAACTGATTATTTATTAGTAAAGAAGCATCGTATACTTAAAGAGATACAATGTTTCATTTAAATTAAAAAAATTCAATGATAAAATTAAGTTATGGTTTTATTATTTTCCATGTATTACATTGTGATATCTTAGTGTTTTAAAATAAATACAATTTTCTTTTCTTCATTCTGAAATCTTTCATTTTACAGTTGTATGAACTCACTCATTGACAATTTTATTAAATTGGAATAATAATCTGATAATAATAGTATCACATTATAATATAATCACTCTATATTTTAATATTTATAAATTATTATTTTCATTTTATTGTGATTATTTGCTATATAAAGTAATCATGTCTACATGCACCTTAAAACAGTGATTATTGTTAGACTAATTAAAATATTTGTTGCAGTTTTAATATACAAATTGTTGCATAAGCAATAACATATTCTATAAATACATCTACTGCTTTCGCTTTTAATATCCTGTAGGATACTGATTTGTTTAATTTTATTAACCACGTTGAATATATTTGCTTTTTCCTAACATAAATGATTTACTTATTTTTGAAGTATTTATGCAATGAATAGATGGTCATTAGCAAATATTATTTTTCGTGTGAAATACAGTCAAATTTTTACTAAAATATCATTAATTATAATCTTTAAAATCGTGTATTATCTAAAAAAAAAGTTCATACCCATAAGGAATGTTCGAAATCACTTCTTTTGTATTGTTTTTTGTTGGACATATTCTACTCTCAAATTGACATATTTTATTTAACGATGTCCTAACTTCCTTTAATCCATTTAAATACTGCATTCTGTCAAGATATTTAAAATATTCTTTTACGACAAAAAAATCTCCACATTTGCTAAAAAGATTTACTCGGTCACTAGACCTGGTGATAAGGGAAAAAGTTAATTAATTCAAAATAGAACATAGTTGATATCAACATAGTTGATATCAACATAGTTGATTTAGTTGATATACTACAGTAATATGACACTACCTAAATGAAAACCTTTTCAGAATTATGACATACAATTCACCCAACAATGTTGTATAATTAACTTAAGTTACTATGCTATATTTTTAGACGTAGTCCATCAGTAAAAAGATCTTGTCAATGTTAGCTTTACAGGAACCTTGGCCTTGCAGCAGGATATCACTCTTATCACTCTGCAGAATATTAACGCAAGATCTGAAATTAAATTACTTGTCATTGTAGACAGTAAGTAAACATATATATCTCTCTCTTTACTCATTTTAACTTTAAAATAAATAACTAGATTCAATACAATCAGCTCAATTTAAATAATATTAAATCCACAATTTCTTACATTTTAAATAAAATGTCGAAAATCTAAAAGAGATTTAATAGAGTACATAAAAAACTATAAAATAAACTAGTATGTATACTTTATATTTATTGATATACAAATTTTATTTTAGTCAATTAATTAAGTTTTCTGTAAGAA